GAGAGGTTAGAGATTGTGGAGCTCAGGTACACGAAGTCGTGGACGACTTCCAGTCGAGTCGATGTTAGGTGTGGGAGTCCACTCCTTGTCCTATGACCTGTGTTTTCTTTAGGCTGATGGTGAGTCCGAAGACCTGGCAGGCCTCGCTGAAGCGGGTCATGAGCTATTGGATGTCTTCGGATGAGTGGGTGGTGACTGATGCGACGTCGGCAACAAGGAAAGTCAGGCAGACACCTCAGTTGAACCTTTGACTTGGCTCTTAGCATGGCGAGGTTGAAGAGCTTTCCGTCCGACCTGGTCCGAAGATAAATGCCATTTGTAGCCAATCCGAAGGCGTGCTGCAGTTTAACTGCGAAGAAAATCGCTAAAAGGGTTGAAGCCATGATGCAGCCCTGCTTTACTCCGCTTCCGGATGTCGAAGGCTTCTGATGTTGAGCCGTCCAACAAAGACCACGGTGCCCTTTATGTTCTCTAGGGCACCGTGGTCCGTCCAAGAGACCGTCGCTCTACAAGGGTAGAGCGACGGCCTCGCTTCATGCAGGTCGGCGTTCAATCCCCGACTGTCCAAGTGATTGGACACCATTCCTTTCCCCCCGTCCCATCTCGATGATTGATGATTGATAAAGATTAAGCCACCTAAAAGGTGGCACGGGCATGAATAGCCCGTAAGTGGCGGCCCTTTTGAGCCATTACCAGTATCAAGAGCCGATACTGGAGATCTATGGAGGTGCGACTGCACCCTGCGTGACGGGAAATGTCTCCCGTGGTCCCATCTCAAATCCTTATCTTGATCCCTTTTAAGTGTTATATAGTCGTAATGGCTTGGCGCTTTCTCTTGATAGTTCCCCTCTTCTCCAACACTTACTCGTTATCTGCATCTGGAAACCAATAATTAAGCAACACGCCAACTTCGCGTCTTGAAGGCATTAAGTATGCTTGCTGTCATTGTCTAAGTGATTATCAAAAGAAGGCAATAAGCCGGGAAGACTATGTAGGCAGTCATTATGTATGCAACAGGCCATTTTATATATTCTAGTTGTGGCATTACTCAGCCAGTTGCACCTAAGACTGATTACTATCACCGTCAATTTTATAGCAATTAGCAGTTCCTTCTCGTCCTCACTAGGTCATGATACTGTCGGGTCTGCAATGTGAGAAGCGGCGTCCCTGTGGTATAATGTGTTCTCGAGGTGTCGGCCGGGCGGCGGGTGTCGGCCGGGTGGTGGGTGTGACGGGACTTGGTGACCGAGCGTTGAACAGTATGGGTCGTGTGTGGACGGGTGGCATTGGGTCTCTGCCGTCCCTTGTGTTTCTTCTGGAACTGCTTATGATCTCACCAGGTTGGCTGTGTTAAGGTTCAGTTTCTTTTACTGATATATTGTCTTTGTAACAGAGGCTCCACATTTTTCACATAATCATTATTTTTAAGAAATCTGGTTTTGTATTTACTCATCCTGCATGTTAACATTGTCACGTCGGCACACACAGTAGCCGGCATAAAGGCGGCGGCGCTGGAGGATCACCGAGCACACCTCTGTCTACCACCAGGTGACTTCAACAACTTGATCAACACCACCGATCCCAGCGATGTCACCCTCTGTCTTATGGTTCGACCAGAGTTATATCAGCCGGCAGATCCAGCCACCATCATCGAGTATCACGCCCACAATGTTTCCATTACTGCAGGTGAGAGTGCAGGTACAAGTATAGCCTGTGGTGTGAGGTTTGGGTGAATATTGTCACGAGGAGTAACTTGCTTAGTGGTCGTTGCAATACATGTGCTCTCTCTCTCTCTCTCTCTCTCTCTCTCTCTCTCTCTCTCTCTCTCTCTCTCTCTCTCTCTCTCTCTCTCTCTCTCTCTCTCTCTCTCCTCTCTCTCTCTCTCTCTCTCTGTGTTATGGTTCGACCAGAGTTATATCATATATCAGAGAAAAGGTATATCGGGTTCAGCATTCTCAATGGTCGACTGAGACCAATGAGAACATTATTGCCGTATGTGCATCAACTTTCAACAAAGTTGATATTATATATATATATATATATATATATATATATATATATATATATATATATATATATATATATATATATATATGTCGTACCTAATAGCCAGAACGCACTTCTCAGCCTACTATGCAAGGCCCGATTTGCCTAATAAGCCTAGTTTTCATGAATTAATATATTTTCTCTAATTTTTTGCTTATGAAATGATATAGCTACCCATTTCATTATGTATGAGGTTAATTTTTTTTATTGGAGTTAAAATTGACGTAGATATATGACCGAACCTAACCAACACTACCTAACCGAACCTAACCTATCTTTATAGGTTAGGTTAGGTTAGGTACCTGAAAAAGTTAGGTTAGGTTAGGTTAGGTAGGTTAGGTAGTCGAAAAACAATTAATTCATGAAAACTTGGCTTATTAGGCAAATCGGGCCTTGCATAGTAGGCTGAGAAGTGCGTTCTGGCTACTAGGTACGACATATATATATATATATATATATATATATATATATATATATATATATATATATATATATATATATATATATATATATGTGTGTGTGTGTGTGTGTGTGATGGGAATACCACCTGTGGTGCAATTTTAGGGACCCACAGCCTCGAAGAAGTGAATTATTTAGTGTGTTTACTGTTCGTTAAAAAAAATAATGAGTTTCTACTAACCATGACTATGTTTTAGGGCTAAATATCAAAGAAATGTAAATGTCAAAACATTGTTCTTTTCTAGGGTAGTCTCGGGTGCCTTGTTCTTAGGGTCTGGCCCATCCTGTCCTCTCGAGTTGTCACAACGTCACAAAAAGAATGTACTAAATTACCCTAATCTTACCGAGGATCCACGGATAGAAAACATGAGAGCTCGTCAATTTTACGAGCCTTCATATCTTGATGTTTAGGGACTTAAACGTCAAAATACGATGTACTATTGGAACGGACAAGGTGCCGCGGGAAACTCATTTTGTTCACTCTTACAGGCATGAGTAAGTGGGCGGTGTGGGTGGAGGCGGATGACGCCAGGTACACTTTTAAC